ATAAAATCAGTCGGTATCACTTTATATTAACTACACCTTACTTAGCCTTAATAAAGCATGAACAAAGATTTAATTAATAATGAACAAACATTTAATTAATAATGATTAACGCTTAGTAAATGCTTGATATAGCATAATTTGTCTTCACTTTAGAAAAGCTCTCAAAAAGACTTAGCTGCTTGAATTATCATTGCAATGCATTATTAGTAAATCATTCTCTCATAGCTTATTAATGATTAATAAATGCTCAAATGGTTAATTCATGAGTAATTAAGTATGAAACTAAATAACTACAGCACAGGCAAATTAAGTGCAAGTGCTAATTAAGGTAGTAATTAAGTAGTTATTATTAATTAAGTCTTTGTTCATTATTAATTAAGCCTTTGTTCATGCTTTATTAAGGCAAATAAGGTGTAGTTATTATAAAGTGTTACCAATCAGTCTGAGGTCAATAAGCACAACCAGAATTAATACATAAGGCGCACTATCGATTTTTGAGAAAATGTAAGGATTTTAAGTGCGTCTTATAGTCCAAAAAATACAGTGCTTATGGGAAAATGATCCAAATCTGTCCTGTATCAGCCCAGAAAACACTGACAGAGTTTATCGACCATCAGCTGCTCTGGATTCTAAACGATCAGTGCGGCCTCCAAAAACAAATATCTGTTTTATCTGTAGTTATTCCAGACATTTACTCTGGAGGGCAGTGTTCCTAAAATACAACTGCAGCTTTATATATAACCAGTGTTGGGAAGGTGACTTTTAAAATGTATTCGCCTACAGATTACAGATTACATACACCAAAATGTAGTTTGTAACGTAATCCATAAAGTTACTTAAAGTGAGTAATGTAATCTGAATACTTTGGATTACTTGATTTGCTGTAGAGAAACAAAGACGAGGAAATCGTAACATAAGATGTTTTATCTGTTAAAAGAAAATAAAAAAGCCCAGACTTTATTTAAGCAAATTAAAAATATTAATGATAGAAGACGAGGAAACACGGTCCGCACAGCAGGATTTAGTCCTGTTAAATCCTGTTTTATTCCTGGTTTTATTCCTGGTTTAGACCTGGTTTTAGTCCTGATTTAGTCCTGGTTTAGCTCTAGTTTAGACCTTGTTTTAGACCTGGTTTTAGTCCTGGTTTAGTCCTGGTTTTAGTCCTGGTTTAGACCTGGTTTAGACCTGGTTTAGACCTGGTTTTAGACCTGGTTTTAGTCCTGGTTTTAGTCCTGGTTTAGTCCTGGTTTAGACCTTGTTTTAGACCTTGTTTTAGACCTGGTTTAGACCTGGTTTTAGTCCTGGTTTAGTCCTGGTTTAGATCTAGTTTAGACCTTGTTTTAGACCTGGTTTTAGACCTGGTTTTAGTCCTGGTTTTAGTCCTGGTTTAGTCCTGGTTTTAGTCCTGGTTTAGTCCTGGTTTAGTCCTGGTTTTAGTCCTGATTTAGTCCTGGTTTAGACCTGGTTAAGTGTCCGGCAATGAGTGGAATTACGAAAAAAAAAAAAAAAAAAACAGGATTCAGCCCAAAATGTGAAAACAGGTAAATCCCTCTGTGTAATCCATTTATTTCAGCAAAGTAACTGTAATCCAATTACCACTCACTGAAACAGTAACTGTAACTGAATACAGTTACTCATAATTTGTACTCTGATTACATAACTCTGGTACATGTAATCTGTTACTCCACAACACTGTTTAAAACACACTTTAAAACACAGGTTGACCAAAGCGCTACAGAACAGAATTAAAAACAATAAAAAATAATCTGATAAAAAGGGAGAAGGATATGTTCAGTTCTCTCTTAATTTCTGGAAAAACTAATCTGTTCTTCTACTTGAGTAATATTATTTTAAAGTAGCAGTATTCCTATTTAACAACATTTTGTCTACTTTACCCTCAAGTTGGTCTTTGTTAGTAACACGACTTATATTTATTATTTATCAGTACTACTTTAAGAGGTTTCTTGTCGTTGTAGTTTCATGTTGTTGACACAAGGTGGTGCTGTTGTTAAAGGTTCGTTCTTGAGTTTTCTCTTCTCGTGATGTAAATAATGATAATAATGATTCTTTTATTGGTCAAATTGGGGTCAGCAGCCTCCAGGAAACTTCAAAATGCTCCAAAACGACACAAAATGGAGTCAGTCGTTTGTGTTTCGTTTGTGCTGCAAAAAGTTTTATTTGTGTGATTCTGGTTCTCAGAGGTGGAAAAAATACAGAAAATTTGTAATGAAATAAAAGTATCTTTATTTTGCTTAATTTCTACTCAAGTAAAAGTAATCATCTAAAAATCTACTCGAGTAAAAGTAAAAAAAAAAAAAAGTACTTGATTTAAAATGTCATTTGAGTGAAAGTTATTTAGTTACTTTCAATTATTTGACGTGAAAAAAAAAGATGAGTCATAAATCTTTTCCTTTTCTTTCTGGCAGATTATTATTATTATATATATATATTTTTTCCCGCATTTCTTTTTTTTTTTCTCTTTCAGTTGTATTTTACGTTTGTTTAGTAACGAGGACGGGTTTCAATGTAATGAAATATCATACTTGGTTCAAATGTAAAAATAACCTATTTCGAAAACTACTTAAAAAGTTACAAATTACTCATCAGAACTACTTAAAAATGACAAACTACTATAGATATAGAAACTAATCAATTACATTAATGTGAATAAATTTAATTTATCATCGGTCGAAAATAAAACTGCTAATATCTTAAGAACCATAATCGCACAAATGAAATTTTTTGGAGCACAAACGGGGCACAAACGGAGCACAAACGGAGCACAAACGGAGCACAAAAGGAGCACAAACGAACACAAATGAAGCACAAACGAAGCACAAACGGAGCACAAACGGAGCACAAACGGAGCACAAACGGAGCACAAACGGAGCACAAACGGAGCACAAACGGAGCACAAACGGAGCACAAACGGAGCACAAAGAATCGATGTAGTTTTTGTGTAGGTTTGTGTTTGACGGGGGCCGACTTCAGGCAGGTGGACGTCCTGCCGTTCTCAGTCTGGGGCCTGTTCACGAGCTGCTTTTGGAAACCATCAGCCTGAGCTCCGTCTTCACAAAAACCACCACCGCGCTCGTTACGGTTCTCACCCAGAGCTCCACGTGAACGCTCCTCACAACTGTGCACGAGGGGGAGGGTGTGCACGAGGGGATGGGGGGGGGGTGTTTATCACAAAGTCTGGACTAAACGATGCGCCGTGTACGAACAAGGCCGAACGGTAAATAGAACTAAACTTAAAAGCTGCTGGTGCGTCCACATCGAGCACACGGGCCGATGATGCAGCCACAAAGGATTATGGTCCATGTAGTTTACTGTGCTCCACAGGAGCCGACTGAAAATTCTTATTTTTGCCTGACGACACACAGTTTAATACAAGACGAGACCACGACGATATCGTGGCAGTTTTACTACGACGATATCGTGACATCACCGTTACACCTCTGCTCATTACCGTAACAAACACTGACTCAAGTGAATTGTCCCATCCCTGGATCACCCTCGTCTGTAACTCCGATATGATGCAGTAAAAGTGCAGTAAAAGTGCAGTAAATGTACAGTAAACGTGCAGTAGAAGTACAGTAAAAGTACAGTAATAGTCGAGTCAAAGTGCAGTCAAAGTACAGTAAAAGTACAGTAATAGTCGAGTCAAAGTGCAGTCAAAGTGCAGTCAAAGTGCAGTAATAGTTCAGTAATAGTACAGTAAAAGTACAGTAAAAGTACAGTAAAAGTACAGTAAAAGTATAGTAAAAGTACAGTAATAGTGCAGTCAAAGTGCAGTCAAAGTGCAGTCAAAGTGCAGTCAAAGTGCAGTCAAAGTACAGTAATAGTTCAGTAATAGTTCAGTAATAGTACAGTAAAAGTACAGTCAAAGTACAGTCAAAGTACAGTCAAAGTGCAGTCAAAGTACAGTCAAAGTACAGTCAAAGTACAGTAATAGTTCAGTCAAAGTGCAGTCAAAGTGCAGTCAAAGTAAGTCAGTAATAGTTCAGTAAAAGTACAGTAAAGTTCAGTCAGTCAAAGTGCAGTCAAAGTACAGTAATGCAGTGTGCAGTCAAAGTACAGTAATGTTCAGTAAAGTACAGTAATAGTTCAGTCAAAGTGCAGTCAAAGTGCAGTCAAAGTGCAGTAATAGTTCAGTCAGTCAAGTACAGTCAAAGTACAGTAATAGTTCAGTCAAAGTGCAAAGTGCAGTAAAAGTACAGTAATAGTTAGTAAAAGTACAGTAATAGTTCAGTCAAAGTGCAGTCAAAGTACAGTAATAGTGCAGTCAAAGTACAGTAATAGTTCAGTCAAAGTACAGTCAAAGTACAGTAATAGTTCAGTCAAAGTGCAAAGTGCAGTCAAAGTACAGTAATAGTTCAGTAAAAGTACAGTAATAGTTCAGTCAAAGTGCAGTCAAAGTACAGTAATAGTTCAGTCAAAGTACAGTAAAAGTACAGTCAAAGTACAGTAAAAGTACAGTCAAAGTACAGTCAAAGTACAGTCAAAGTGCAGTCAAAGTGCAGTCAAAGTGCAGTCAAGTCAAAGTACAGTAATAGTTCAGTAAAAGTACAGTAAAAGTACAGTAATAGTGCAGTCAAAGTACAGTAATAGTGCAGTCAAAGTACAGTAATAGTTCAGTAAAAGTACAGTAATAGTACAGTAATAGTGCAGTCAAGTACAGTAATAGTGCAGTAAAAGTACAGTAATAGTTCAGTAAAAGTACAGTAATAGTACAGTAATAGTTCAGTCAAAGTACAGTAATAGTTCAGTAAAAGTACAGTCAAAGTACAGTAATAGTGCAGTCAAAGTACAGTAATAGTTCAGTAAAAGTACAGTAAAAGTACAGTAATAGTTCAGTCAAAGTGCAGTCAAAGTGCAGTCAAAGTGCAGTCAAAGTGCAGTCAAAGTGCAGTCATAGTTCAGTCAAAGTGCAGTCAAAGTACAGTAATAGTTCAGTCAAAGTGCAGTCAAAGTGCAGTCAAAGTGCAGTCAAAGTACAGTAATAGTTCAGTAAAAGTACAGTAATAGTACAGTAATAGTGCAGTCAAAGTACAGTAATAGTTCAGTCAAAGTACAGTCAAAGTACAGTAATAGTTCAGTCAAAGTGCAGTCAAAGTGCAGTCAAAGTGCAGTCAAAGTGCAGTCAAAGTGCAGTCAAAGTAGAGTAATAGTTCAGTAATAGTTCAGTCAAAGTACAGTCAAAGTACAGTAATAGTTCAGTCAAAGTGCAGTCAAAGTGCAGTCAAAGTACAGTAATAGTTCAGTCAAAGTGCAGTCAAAGTACAGTAATAGTTCAGTCAAAGTGCAGTCAAAGTGCAGTCAAAGTAGTAGTAATAGTTCATTAATAATAGTTCAGTAAAAGTACAGTAATAGTGCAGTCAAAGTGCAGTCAAAGTGCAGTCAAAGTAGAGTAATAGTTCAGTAAAAGTACAGTAAGAAGTAATAGTGCAGTCAAAGTACAGTAATAGTGCAGTCAAAGTACAGTAATAGTTCAGTAAAGTACAGTAATAGTACAGTAATAGTGCAGTCAAAGTACAGTAATAGTGCAGTAAAAGTACAGTAATAGTTCAGTCAAAGTACAGTCAAAGTGCAGTCAAGTAGTAATAAGTTCAGTAATAGTTCAGTAATAGTGCAGTCAAAGTGCAGTCAAAGTAGAGTAATAGTTCAGTAATAGTTCAGTAATAGTTCAGTCAAAGTACAGTCAAAGTAGAGTAATAGTTCAGTAATAGTTCAGTCAAAGTACAGTCAAAGTTCAGTAATAGTTCAGTCAAAGTGCAGTCATAGTGCAGTCATAGTGCAGTAATAGTGCAGTAAAAGTACAGTAATAGTTCAGTCAAAGTGCAGTCAAAGTACAGTAATAGTTCAGTAATAGTTCAGTAAAAGTACAGTAAAAGTACAGTAATAGTGCAGTCAAAGTACAGTAATAGTGCAGTCAAAGTGCAGTAATAGTGCAGTCAAAGTACAGTAATAGTTCAGTCAAAGTGCAGTCAAAGTGCAGTCAGTCAAAGTGCAGTCAAAGTGCAGTCAAAGTGCAGTCAAAGTGCAGTCAAAGTGCAGTCAAAGTGCAGTCAAAGTGCAGTAAAAGTACTCTGTCGTTGTGTTTTCAGGGTGGACCTGTTCATCCCGGGCCTGGAGACGGTCGGGGGTTTCTCCATGTGCTCCAGTCCAGGTCTGCTGCAGAGGGACGGGCTCATCGAACTCGCCGTCAAATACACCCAGCACCCGCCGGCTCACTGGCTCCACACACAGGTCAGAGTTTGTACTACACCCCTTAGACCTGGTTTAGACCTGGTTTAGTCCTGGTTTAGTCCTGGTTCAGTCCTGGTTCAGTCCTGGTTCAGTCCTGGTTTAGTCCTGGTTCAGTCCTGTTTTAGTCCTGGTTTAGTCCTGGTTCTGTCCTGGTTCTGTCCTGGTTCAGTCCTGGTTTTAGTCCTGTTTTAGTCCTGGTTTAGTCCTGGTTCAGTCCTGTTTTAGTCTTGGTTTAGACCTGTTTCAGTCCTCGTTTAGTCCTGGTTCAGTCCTGTTTTAGACCTGATCTAGTCCTGGTTTAGTCCTGGTTTAATCCTGGTTTAGTTCTGTTTAATCCTGGTTCAGTTCTGGTTTAGGTTTAGTCCTGGTTTAGTCCTGGTTTAGTCTGGTTTAGTCCTGGTTTAGTCCTGGTTTTAGTCCTGGTTTAGTCCTGGTTTAGTCCTGGTTCAGTCCTGTTTTAGTCCTGGTTTAGTCCTGGTTTAGTCCTGGTTTAGTCCTGTTTAATCCTGGTTCAGTTCTGGTTTAGTCCTGGTTTAGTCCTGGTTCAGTTTCTGGTCTAGTTCTGGTTTAGTTCTGGTTTAGTCCTGGTCTAGTCCTGGTTTTAGTCCTGTTTTAGTCCTGGTTCAGTTCTGGTTTAGTCCTGGTTTAGTTCTGGTTTAGTCCTGGTTTAGTTCTGGTTTAGTCCTGGTTTAGTCCTGGTTTAGTCCTGGTTCAGTCCTGGTTTAGTCCTGGTTTAGTCCTGGTTCAGTTTGGTTTAGTCCTGGTTTAGTCCTGGTTTAGTCCTGGTTTAGTCCTGGTTCAGTCCTGGTTTAGTCCTGGTTTAGTCCTGGTTCAGTCCTGGTTTAGTCCTGGTTTAGTCCTGGTTTAGTCCTGGTTTAGTCCTGGTTTAGTCCTGGTTCAGTCCTGGTTTAGTCTGGTTTAGTCCTGGTTTAGTCTGGTTTAGTCCTGGTTTAGTCCTGGTTTAGTTCTGGTTTAGTCCTGGTTTAGTCCTGGTTTAGTCTGGTTTAGTCCTGGTTCAGTCCTGGTTTAGTCCTGGTTTAGTCCTGGTTTAGTCTGGTTTAGTCCTGGTTTAGTCCTGGTTTAGTCCTGGTTTAGTCCTGGTTTAGTTCTGGTTTAGTCCTGGTTTAGTCCTGGTTTAGTCCTGGTTTAGTCCTGGTTTAGTCCTGGTTTAGTCCTGGTTTAGTCCTGGTTCAGTCCTGGTTTAGTCCTGGTTTAGTCCTGGTTTAGTCCTGGTTTAGTCCTGGTTTAGTCCTGGTTTAGCCTTGGGCGTCGTTCAGATTCTTGGCTCGTCTCTTCTGGACTGGCGTGTGATTTTTTATTTATTTTTTTTTGGAGTGGGAGGTGTTTTTTTTTTTTTTTTTTTTTTTTTCACCGCTCACAGAAAAATAAGTTCCACATTTGGCGTCGGAGAATCTGGGAAAGGGCCTGGAATATTTGGAAAAAGAACTCGCAATTTTGCCTGACAGTTTTTGACACGTTTTTACGGCGATTATCCAGTTCACGGGGCACTTTTTAAACGCGGCCAGGAGCTCCGCGTTTGGACAAAAGAGTGAAATCTGAATTGCAAAGTAAATGTGTTTTTTTTTTTTTTTTTTTTTTTCGAGCGCGTCCCGAGGTTTTTCCGCGGAATAAAAGCGGCGCACACAGAGAAGAGACGAGTCCTGTGGAAACGCACTTAGTTCTGTTTTAATTTGGGTTTTCAGTTTTCTGTGTTTTACAATTTATTCTGATCCGTCGTCCGACCAGAGTCACGTTTTTGTCCTTTTACAATTTTCGTTATTTTCAAAAACGCCGTCGTTTTATTAAGTGTTAAATCCAGATTTTATTAAAAATTTAAATAAAGGTAAACGAAATATTATAATGAGATAATAAAAAAAAAAACAGATAATGATTCTGTTGATAATTGATTTTGTGAAAAAAAAACGGGTAATGGACTGAACCAGGACTAAACCAGGACTAAACCAGGTCTAAACCAGGACTAAACCAGGACTAAACCAGGACTAAACCAGGACTAAACCAGGACTGAACCAGGACTGAACCAGGATTGAAACCAGGACTAAACCAGGACTAAACCAGGACTAGACCAGGACTAGAACCAGGACTAAACCAGGACTAAACCAGGGTCTAAACCAGGTCTAAACCAGGACTAAACCAGGACTAAACCAGGACTAGACCAGGTCTAAAGGACCAGGTCTAACCAGGACTAGGACTCTAAACCAGGACTAAACCAGGACTAAACCAGGATCTAAACCAGGTCTAAACCAGGTCTAAACCAGGACTCTAAACCAGGTCTGAACCAAGACTGAACCAGGACTAGACCAGGACTGAACCAGGACTGAACCAGGACTGAACCAGGACTGAACCAGGACTGAACCAGGAGACTGAACCAAGACTGAACCAAGGACTGAAACCAGGACTAGGACCAGGACTAGACCAGGACTAGGACTGACCACCAGGACTAGACCAGGACTAGACCAGGACTGAACCAGGACTAAATCAAAACTAAACCAAAACTAAACCAGGACTGAACCGGGGACTAAACCACTACTAAACCATTTTCAGTCCTGATCTGGTCCCGGTCTAAGGTCTGGTTTCAGTCCCAGTCTCAGTCCCTGTCTGGTCCTGGTCTCAGTCCCGGTCTGGTTCCAGTCTGGTCCTAGATCTGGTTCAGTCCTTCATCCTTTTTTTTCCATTTTTCATTTAAACACAAAATTGAAAACTGAAAAAAACTGAATCATTATCTGTTTTTTTTTTTTTTCCGTGTTTGATTTTGGAGACAAATAATGAATTCATTTTCTTATTTTTGGTTTTATTTTGAAAAACAAATGACACACAAAATCAAGACTGTGTTATTGTTAAATGAGATAAACGAGGAAGAACTCTATCCACGTGTTCTGTTTTTTGTTTTTTTTTCTTCACGTTTTTTAAGACGATAAAACTCTGGTTGGACTCGTTTCAGATCCCAGAGCGTCTGAGAAAAAAACACACCACTTCCTTTTCACTTCAGAACCTGGAGTTGACCTACAAAAACTTTAACACAAAACACTCACTGTTTGAACTGAAGCTCTGTGATCCAGACTCACAGTCACAGTCAGAGCCCGATCCTGTTTCCTGTTGTGTGTGTGTGTGTTGTGTGTTTAGTGTGTTGTGTGTTGTGTGTGTGTGTGTGTGTTGTGTGTGTGTGTGTTGTGTGTGTGTGTAGTGTGTGTGTTTGTGTGTGTGTGTGTGCGTGTGTGTGTGTGTGTGTTAGTGTGTGTTTTGTGTGTGTTGTAGTGTGTGTGTGTGTGTGTGTGTGTGTGTTAGTGTGTGTGTTGTGTGTGTGTGTTGTGTGTTTGTGTGTGTTTGTGTGTTTTGTGTGTTTGTGTGTGTTTGTGTGTGTGTGTGTTTTGTGTGTGTGTTTGTGTGTGTGTTTGTGTGTGTGTTTGTGTGTTTTGTTGTTTGTGTGTGTCTGTATGTATTGTGTGTGTATTTGTGTCTTAGTGTGTTTCTGTGTGTGTGATTGTTTGTTTGTGTGCTTGTGTTTTTTGTGTGTGTGTGTGTGTTGTGTTTTGTGTGTTTGTTTTGTTGTTTGTTTTTCTCCAGACACAAAACTTCTTCCTTTGGCCCAACACGACTGAACAACTGCAGCTACACTTTTATCTACATCTGTCTCTCTCTCTCTCTCTCTCTCTCTCTCTCTCTCTCTCTCTGTCTCTCTCTCTCTCTCTCTCTCTCTCTCTCTCTCTCTCTCTCTCTCTCTCTCTCTCTCTCTCTCTCTCTCTCTCTCTCTCTCTCTCTCTCTCTCTCTCTCTCTCTCTCTCTCTCTCTCTCTCTCTCTCTCTGTCTCTGTCCCTCTTCTTTCTTGTCTCTTTTCTCTCCCTTTGCTCTATTTGTCACTCTCTCCGTCTTTCTATTTTCTCGCCTCTTCTTTTTCTCTCACCCCCCATTTTTTGAGTACTGTTCTTTTCTTTATGCACAGATCTCCTCTACAAACTGAAAATTATGAACCACTACTAACCTCTCCTCTCTTTCTTTCTTTCTTTCTTTCTTTCTTTCTTTCCCATTTCTCCTCTTCCTCTCCTCTCACTTTCTTCTCCCTTCTTTCTCTTCTCTTTCGCTTCTTCCTCTTGTCTCTCTCTCTCTGTCCTCTTTCCCTCTCATTCCTCTCTCTTCTCTTTTTCTCTCTTCTCTCTCTCCTTTTTCACATTCTTTCTCTTTCTGTCCTACTCCCTCCGTCTCCTCTCCTTCTCTTCTCGCCTCTTTCTCTTTTCCTCTTGTATCTCTCCTTTTACTCCATCTCTCTTTCTCTCCTCTCTCAGCGAGAGAGATGGAGTGTGGCTTTCTCTCTCGTCTCTTTCTCTCTCTCCGTCTCTGATCTGTCGTTCTTACACCTCTCTCCCTCTCGTCTCTTTCTCTCTTTCTCTCTCTCCGTCTCTGATCTGTCGTTCTTACACCTCTCTCCCTCTCTTCTCTTTCTCTCTTTCTCTCTCTCCGTCTCTGATCTGTCGTTCTTACACCTCTCTCCCTCTCGTCTCTTTCTCTCTCTCCGTCTCTGATCTGTCGTTCTTACACCTCTCTCCCTCTCGTCTCTTTCTCTCTCTCCGTCTCTGATCTGTCGTTCTTACACCTCTCTCCCTCTCGTCTCTTTCTCTCTCTCCGTCTCTGATCTGTCGTTCTTACACCTCTCTCCCTCTCGTCTCTTTCTCTCTCTCCGTCTCTGATCTGTCGTTCTTACGCCTCTCTCCCTCTCGTCTCTTTCTCTCTCTCTCTCTCTCGTCTCTGATCTGTCGTTCTTACACCTCTCTCCCTCTCGTCTCTTCTCTCTCTCTCCGTCTCTGATCTGTCGTTCTTACACCTCTCTCCCTCTCGTCTCTTTCTCTCTCTCCGTCTCTGATCTGTCGTTCTTACACCTCTCTCCCTCTCGTCTCTTTCTCTCTCTCCGTCTCTGATCTGTCGTTCTTACACCTCTCTCCCTCTCGTCTCTTTCTCTCTCTCCGTCTCTGATCTGTCGTTCTTACACC